TATTTATTTTTAAAATATTTTTATTGATTTCAGAGAGGAAGGAGAGGGAGATAGAGATAGAAACATCAATGATGAAATAGAATCATCGATTGGCTGCCTCCTGCATGCTAATGGTAAAATAAAGATCAGAAATTTTTAAAAATTGAAGGCTGGTGCCCTGACCAGTTTGGCTCAGTGGCTAGAGCGTCGGCCTGTGGACTGAAGAGTCCCAGGTTCGATTCCGGTCAAGGGCATGTACCTTGGTTGCAGGCACATCCCCAGTAGGGGGTGTGCAGGAGGCAGCTGATCGATGTTTCTCTCTCATCGATGTTTCTAACTCTCTATTCCTCTCCCTTCCTCTCTGTAAAAAATCAATAAGATATATTTTTTTAAAAAATTGAAGGCTGGGTATGCTGATGTGTTATATTAGCCCTTTACATTATAGGAAGTTAAAGGCAATGAAAAGTTGATTACTTGATGTGTTTCTTATATCTAGTCATAAGTTTAATTTTGCCATTTTAGGTTTAAAATATCATTGTTGAGGCATCATTATCTAGGTTGGTATAGAACCATCTTTAGTAACATTAAGCTTTAAGCACAATTTAAAAAACCTCTCATCCCAAGTTAATTTAGCTCTGGTAGTGAGCATTTGATAAGTAGTTCATTGTCATTTTCAAGCTCCCTTTTGATTATTGCTATTGGATAAACTCTGAACTATCAAGGATGAGAATTTGAAATTGATCCCAATTCTTTTCTTTCTTTCTTTCTTGACAGGTTGAACGTCATAGAGAACATCTCATTAACTACATTATATTTTTGAGAATAACACCATTTCTGCCTAATTGGTTTATTAATATTACATCTCCTGTGATAAATGTGCCATTGAAAGTTTTTTTTATTGGCACTTTTCTAGGTAAGGTCTCTGGTTCACTCTGTATTAGAACTCATTGTGTACATAGCTAGCAGTGTCCAGCTGGGCTGGATTTCATGCTTTGCAGACATGCCAGGAGAGTGGCACAGTGCCTGGCCTGTGTAAACAGATACTCAGAAATGTTGGTTGGATTGTCTTAATTTAAGTATTTTTGTGTTGCTTCTTTTAAAGAGGAGCATTCTCTATGGATATTTTTTTAATCATGCAGGATTACTAGTAAGCAGGATTTTTAAACTCCATTTTCTCCTTCAGTGGAGAGAAAAAAAGTGCCTTTTTTGAATAATTTTCTCCTTTGTCCTCTACTCAGGCACTGAAATATTGAACTTTCAGTAAAGAATTGATCCTATTTTTTATTTTATTGAAATCAATATTTATTATGGGCATTACCAAAAGTGTGTGGGAAGCAAGGATTAACAAATATATTGCTTTCAAGGAGCTGCACTTAATTTTGAAATTAATCAGTGGACATAAAGATTCATTTGTATATTTTATGAATTCTAATGGTTCTTTAGCAAGAGTATTCTGCTTTTCTTTCAAATTTAAGTTGAATTGTTTCGCTACCAACAAAAGGAGCAGATTCCTCATGTAATGAGTATTCATTTAAGTTAATACATGTGAGAATAGATCTTTTTGAAAAAAATAATCAAAATCAATTTTTATTGCTACTTCAAAAATTTATTGTCAAACTTAAAAATATCACAGGGTTAATTTGAGATTTTGTAAATTAATGTTAACGATTATGGAATCAAAAGAGAATTTTTGTCCATATTTTCTTACTTTGCAGATTAAATACCTAGAGATTTAGCTAACTTCAGCTTTGACTGAATTAATTTTTTTGGTTCTGCTTTTTTTATTTATTATAACTTTTATTTTCTTAATTGAATTTTAAAGAGAGAGAAAAGGAGAGGGAGAGAGAGAGAGAGAAAAACATCAGTGTGAGAAAGAAACATCAATCTGCTGCCTCCTGCATGGCCCCTACTGGGTATTGAGCCCACAACCCAGGCATGTGCCCTGACCTAAAATTGAACCAGCAACCTTTCAATGCATGGGACGACCAGCTGAGCCACACTGGCCAGGGCATTCGGTTCTGATTTTTAATGAAATATGATCATTTTGTGTATGCTCTTGTATAAATTCTTTTTACTTGTATTTTGAGTCTCATTTCATTTCTGAGTATCCTACCATTTTATTTTATTTTTAGGTATATTCTGTCAAGGGTGAATGACAATTTACTCAGTCTTATTTTTGAATATTTAGATTATTTCCAGATTTTTATTATTATAATGCTTTGATGAACATCCTTGAGATTATACCTTTGCTCATATACATTATTTGCGAAAGTTGAAATTGCTGGATCAGAGCACATTCTTTTTTTTAAGGTTGTTCATAATTGTAAAATTTTTCTGGAAACTTTTCTTGGGTTCTTATATTTATTTTCTTAAAAAGTGATTATGAAAATTTTAATCCTTTATATGGAAATAAACTTAAGGGACTTCAAATTAAAAATTTCCAAAATGGAGGTTGCTATATTCTTAAAAGATAATTAGTACATGCAGAAAATTATAATGTTGAAAGATAAACAACTGATGGTTTTTATTGGTTTTGTTTGTTTGTTTTTTTAGGTGTTGCACCCCCCTCTTTTATAGCCATTAAGGCAGGAACAACACTGTACCAGCTTACAACAGCAGGGGAAGCTGTTTCCTGGAACTCAGTATTTGTCCTAATGATTTTGGCTCTTCTTTCTATACTGCCAGCCATCTTCCAAAAAAAACTAAAGCAGAAATTTGAGTGAAAAATCATCCTAGGTTTTAGTTTTCCTATCATCATCACCATCATCATCTCAGGACTGGCAGGTTTATGTGTTCAAATCACTTCTTCAGTAATTGAAACAAGGAATTTGTAAAATAAGATTCCCTATTAAATAGTTAAAATAATGCATTTAAGTGGCAAAGGAGAGTAGAAAGAATGGAAATTGATATACCATGAAAAGTGCTATCAGTAGTTATGATAGTCATCTTCTAAATTACTTTAGTCTAAGAGTAGCTATAACAAATTAAAACCAGCATTAGTAGGAAATTTTTGACCCAATTGGTTAATTTAATTTATTCATGAACTGGCTATAAATACTTATCCTGGGCTTGATATTTTAATATTTTTCTTTTTTATCCCTTGCTAATAAAGTAGATATACAAAAGCAAAAATTCTACATTTTTAAAAATAGTATTGTAGTTCTGGCTAATATCAACCATCTTTCAGAGCATAAACTTAAAGCCAGTATTTAAAAGAGATTTACATCTTCCTCTTACCTTTGAGGTAATGGATTTGTTTAGAAGTTGCATCTTAGTGTACTACTGAATTGGGAAAGGATATCAAGTTATATCTATTTAGTGAATTTTATTTTATTTTTTCCTGTTCCAGATTATCATGGATTCGTTTGAAATGTAAAATTCTGACCAATATACTTTCATCTTCTTTATCTAGCTTTCACAATATTTCCATTGTGCATATACAAAATGGTGATTACATGATAATTGTATCATTTTGGTGTTGATAATTTATATTCAGATAATATTTTGTTACACAGTTCCCTCTTACTATCTCAAAAGGGGATCAAAAAAGCAAACATTTAACATGCAGGTTTTAGATGTTATATTAATTATATTACCTTATATTTTGAAACAGTGACAGCATAACACTTAAGTGGTTAAATATAGTTTATTTGTTCCAATGACTATGAAATTTACTTAATTTATTTATTAGTCTGGTCGTTAACATCTGTATTATGTAATTATCCTTTTTTATGCATGATATACTTATAAGAATGCCTTGTTTCATTTCTATTAATGCCTCTTTTGTTTGGGGCTACTTTTGGTTAATGCAATTTCCCAATTTAGTGTTTGTACTTTTTATAACTCAAAATATAATTAACTTCTCACATGGTAACTACTATATTTAAATGAAACAGCTTTTTGCTGCTTGCTTAATGGTAATACACTTGATTCTAGGACATAACTGATCTAAAGTAAAGTACTCTCAGTTTTACCTTCAGTTAAGACTGTCATGTTGAAAAGTACTGTAACTGTGGGAGAAATCCTTGTATGTTTTTATTGTGAGAGGTATGATCATCCTCAGAGCCTGTTTCTACTACATAATGTGGACTGATTTATTATTTTTTCTATCACAGTATTAACAAATGGATTTATTGTAAATACAAAGAAAATATATTGATTAATATACTATTCTTATGTCACCTGGCCTTTGTGTGAAATTATTTATTGTTATACCTAGCAAGGTTTTCTTCCTTTCTTATTGACCAGAGACTGAGTGATAAGCTTTTGTTATTTTTACATGTGAATTTAAAACATAATATTTTGAACAAAGGTCACTAAATATTACTGTATAAAATGTAATTGAATAAATTTTTATCAGACTTTTTAGAAGAGGTCTCACTATTCACTCCATTGTGTATATATTGTACTTACTCTATTCTCAGAGTATTTTCCCTATCCTTATCATTGATTCTTTCCCTTTGCTGTTTTTTGTTTTTTTTTTTCTATTAGAAAACTGTAACTGTCACTCCAAGTAGGGTATTTTTTCTCTCAAGAGAATAGCCAACCTTCCTAGATTCATCATCATTGACTGCCAAGAATCCTGTAGCAGGCTATACTCTAAATGCCGTTGGTGCCCATATTCATAGATTCACATACTTGGCCTGATGCCAGATGTAGATTTAAACTTCAGCCACATCTTGAAGACAGTTACATATAATAACCACAGAGAGTAAGTATGTGTAGTGAGGAGGCCTACGAGCTAACTACGAAATTGACATACTAAGTGAGACTGTGCCCCTCTTAATAGCCCCTCTCTGGGATTCTATTACCTTGAGTGTAATATTTCTAAGATACTCAATAAATGCAAACTAAAATGTAATAAGAATAAATTATACTGAAAAGATTAAATTTGTTATTTTTTTCATGCTTAGTATTTGTATTAAAACATCTTTCATCAAATAGAAATATATTCTCTTGAAATTCTGATGTGCATTTTCAAGAACAAAGAAAATTTTTAAAACCTTAAATTTTGCTCTCAGTCAGATGGCCCGGGAGACGATTCTGACTGACATCACCATGGCCGCCCAAGGAGAACCCCAAGTTCTTTCAAACTTGTATTGGTTGGTGACGGTGGGACTGGGAAGATGACCTTCGTGAAACGTCACCAGACGGGTGAATTTGAGAAGAAGTATGTAGCCATCCTGGGTGTGGAAGTACACCCCCTTGTGTTCCACACCAACCGAGGGCCCATCAAGTTCAATGTGCTGGACACTGCTGGCCAAGAGAAGTTCGGGGGGCTGCGAGACTGCTACTACATCCAAGCCCTGTGTGCCATTATAATGTTGGAGTTCGTCGCCATGCCTGCTCTTCCCCCTCCAGAGGTTGTCATGGCCCAGCGCTGGCAGCACAGTATGAGCAAGATCTAGAGCAGTGATGGCGAACCTATGACACCTCTGACACACGAACTCATTTTTTTGGTTGATTTTTCTTTGTTAAATGGCATTTAAATATATAAAATAAATATCAAAAATATAAATCTTTGTTTTACTATGGTTGCAAATATCAGAAAATTTCTATATGTGACACGGCACCAGAGTTAAGTTAGGGTTTTTCAAAATGCTGACACACCGAGCTCAAAAGGTTCGCCATCACTGATCTAGAGGTTGCTCAGACCACGGCGCTCCCAGACGAGGATGACAACCTGTGAGAGGGAAGCTGGAGCCCAGTGTCAGGCAACTGTCTTGTGGTGTCAGTGGTGCCGCGTGTTTGCTACTTTGTTATATAGCTAATCAGAACCTGTGCTTGATCCTTGGGATGCTGAAAGATGAATGGGCTTCGGAGAGAATGTGGCAGTTAAAAATACCTTCACTTTTTGGACCTGCATATTTAGCTGTTTTGGAATGCAGTTGTTTCCTTATTGAGTTTCAACTATAAGAAAGCTGCAGTTGCATCACAATCCTCAGTGGTGAAACCTTGTTTGTTACTGTCATTCCCATTCTTTTTTGTTTAGAATCCGAATAAAGTTGTATTTCAAATTTTAAAAAACCTTAAATTTTTTTATAGTTGACTTTTAAAAAAATAATTAGTTTGTTTATTTTTTAATATATTTTTATTGATTTCAGAGAGGAAAGGCGAGGGAGAGAGAGATAGAAACATCAATGATGAGAGAGAGCCATTGATCGACAGCCTCCTGCATGTGCCCTTAACTGGAATCAAACCTAGGACCCTTCAGTCTGCAGGCTGACGCTCTACCCACTGAGCCAAAACGGCTAGGGCTATAGTTGACTTTTGAGAACCTTAAAGAAATTTAATGTTCTCTTTGGCTTTTAGAAAATGGGCAGAATAAATTAAAAGGGCTGAAGCTTTCCTGGTGTGTAAATGATCATTCATTGATTGTCAGTTAGATGTGTAAAAGGTGCTAATGCAGTAAAGAAAAGACTCATTTAATTTTTGAACACTGACACTATATATATATATCCTATATAATAAAAGGCTAATATGCAAATTGTCCCCCCAGGCGTTCAACTGCTCATTATGACGTGTGCTTATCGCCAGGGGGTGGTGCGGAACGAAGGAAGGCCCTGATCGCCAGCCAGGCCTAGGAACCCTACCCATGCCAGAATTTCGTGCACCGGGCCTCTAGTGTGTGTGTGTGTGTGTATAATGTATAACTAGAGCCAGCTCTTATATTTAGAAAATACATCAAGAACAGAGTTTATACTCAGAATATTGGGATAGTTAAACATCAGAAAAATGTATCAGTGTCATTTACTACATTAAGAGGAGAAAATATTATCTTGATAGATACAGGAAAACTTTTTGATAAAGTTCAATACCTATATATAATAAAAATTGCAGCAAGTCAGTAATAATAATTTATTTTGATACATTGTTTACCAAAAAACTACATTAAATGTTATTTTTAATAGAAAATTTTAGATGCACTCTCTTTAAGATTGGGAAGTAAGTAAAGAATCCCACTATCATTGCTGCAATTGGATATGGTACTGAAGGTTTTGGCCAAATGCTTTAAGGAAAGAGAAAGAAGTATTAGGTGTAAAGATTGGAAGGGAAAGATAAAACTTTTATTTGAGCCCTGACCGGTTTGGCTCGGTAGATAGAGCGTCAGCCTGCAGACTGAAAGGTCCCAGGTTCGATTCTGGTCAAGGGCATGTACCATCGTTGTGGGCACATCCCCACTGGGGGGTGTGCAGGAGGCAACTGATTGATGTTTCTCTCTCATCGATGTTTCTAACTCTCTATCCCTCTCCCTTCCTCTCTGTAAAAAATCAATAAAATATTTTAATATTTTATATTAAAATATATTTTTTTAATATATTTTATTGATTTTTGCAGAGAGGAAGGGAGAGAGATAGAGAGTTAGAAACATTGATGAGAGAGAAAAACATCAATCAGCTGCCTCCTGCACATCTCCCACTGGGGATTGTGCCTGCAACCCAGGTACATGCCCTTGACCGGAATCGAACCTGGACCTTTCAGTCCGCAGGCCGACGCTCTATCCACTGAGCCAAACCGGTTTCAGCTAAAATATATTTTTTAAAAAAACTTTTATTTGAGTTGATATAATGAATTTCATTAAATTTAATTTTTTAAAGCACCTAGCAGAATAAACAAATTTAAACTAAAATGAGCCCAGCTGGTGTAGCTCAGTTGGTTGAGCATCCTCCCATGCACCAAGAGGTTGCTGGTTCAATTCCAGTCAGGGTACATGCCTGGGTTGCAGCTGGGATCCCCAGTAGGGGAGGAGCAGGAGGCAGCAGATTGATGTTTCCCTTTCATCGATGTTTCTAGCTATTTCTCCCTCCCCCTCCTGAAATCTGTAAAAACATATTAAAAGAAAAAAACAAAGTGAGCCATTGGCAGGGTTGCGGGACCCAACAAATGTGACACCAGTTAATAGGATCTACCATCTTAAAATATAATCTTTGGAATATCAGCCTTACACCACAAGATGGCCTCCACAAGAAATTTTTTGACAGCTGCTAAAGGAAGAAAAAGTAATCAATATTGTTAGATTTACTTACTCTTCTACCTCTCTTACCTAACCATTAGCTCTTTGAGGTCAAGACGTAGGCTGATGGGAGGGAAGGTTGATGAAGTCCCTATTGACGCCCTGTGTTACTTGGAGAAAGGAGCGTTGAAGAAATTAGAAGTCCCAGGAGGTGGGAGGCAGGTAGTGAGAGCGTGGACGAGGTGCAGAGGGATGAGAAGGGTGCTCAGAGATAAGCAACTTCAGGGAGGGAAAGTTGGACAAAAGGCTGGGTCTGAGCAGATTAGAGCTCAAAGTTTTCAACTTCCTGCATTGAAAAAAGAGCAGTGCTGTTGAAAACGCTCTGAACGTGAAGTCTGGAATCTGGGTTGGAAGAGTCAGGACATGGGTCAGTGTAGTCAAAGAAACTACTCCAGGCTTGTTTGTTTCAAGTCAAGGGTTTAAAGTGCTCTCCCTCCAGGAAGCACATCTGAGCCTGTCCCCTTACCTGCTTTTCCCCCAAGGCGTTACCTTTTCTCTCCTAAGCTCCAAGGGTCCTTTTTGTCTCTGTAACTTGTTCCCTGAATCCATGTCTTCCTTCCAAGGGCTTCTTTTTATTTATTTATTTATTGCCTATGTAACTTTCTAAATAAACTTTCTCTTATTAAAAAAAAGGGGGGAGGTTGAATAAATACATACTTACAAATTGCATTTTTAAAATAAATATATTTTTATTGATTTCAGATAGGAAGGGAGAGGGAGAGAGAGAGAAATATCAATGATGAGAGAGAATCATTGATCGGCTGCCTCCTGCACACCTCACACTGGGGCATGTTCCCTGACCAAGAATTAAACCGTGACCTCCCAGTTCATAGGTCGACCGCTCAACCACTGAGCCACGCTGGCCAGATATGTGTTATTTTTTTAAATTGACCAGATGTTTTAGCTTAGTTTCATCATTATTAAAGATATTATGGTAGAAGTACATTCCATTAGAATGTGTGACATTTTGGAGTTAGTTTCAAGCAACTGTATTCTAGATATTTTAAGCAGAAAAGAACTTCACATATGGAATGTTATCTTTTTAAAAATACGTTTTTATTGAGAGAGAGAGAGAGAGAAAAGATACGCTCTGACTGGAATTGAACTGGCAAGCTTTCAGTTCATGTGGTTCATGGGATGACAACCAACTGAATCATACCAGCCAGGGCCACATACGGAATTTCAGATTTTACAAAATCACTGGAAAGTTTGGAGGAGCAGGCTTTCGACTGAAGATCCAAGAATGACTCCTAGAAAAATCCAGAACTGGCAGTAATTGTGTTTAAGAGCTCACCACTATATCTGTGATTCAGAGCCCTTGCTGCTGCTTAGATCCTGAAGAGAGCCTGCTACTTTTGCCACTGTAACTCTGTCACATCATCCACAAGGCTGGAGAAGGACCACTGGCATCTCTACAACCCTCCCTGCCCATGGAACACTGACAGAAGATGCAGGAAAACAGTCCCTGTTTCTCCTTTCCATTCAAATTTCTTGTAAGTGCATCTAATTTGTGGGGCCTATTTAGCATGCAGAACTCCCGTTTTTTAGAGTTCATAGCTTTCCAGCCTCTGCAATAAAGAAAAGAATAATCATGGCCAGCTGCATAATTTACAAAATAAAAATACAGCCTTTGTTTAAAAAGCAGGAAAAAAATGCCATTAAAGGAAAACTAAAATATAAAAAATTTTTCCTTTCCTCTGGGGTCTTCTTGACTTGTCATGGTGTCTTTATTTTCTATTTAATATTGTTCTAAGAAAAAAGAATTTAAAATGTAAATTATTGGCTTGAATTTTCCATTTGTATTTATATGGTGCAGTGCCAATTTAAAATGCAAATATAAGAGCACTTAACTGTCTGTGGAGTTGCTACCGGTGAGATGATGAGATCTGGGTTCTCGTCTTCTTGAAGGAAAGATTTCAATCAAGAGACAAAGTGCAGCAAAGCAAGCAAGAGTTTATTGGCCGCAGCAAAATCACACTTAGGACAGTGAAACAAAGAAGGGCTTAGCATAGAAGCAACAGGAGAACCTAGGCTGGGCTGCTTTGATTCACTGGAAAGTCAGAGAAAAGAGGGTCTTGGAGACAGGTTCAGGGGGTCAGGCCAGGACAAGCTGCAGCTACCCATAACTCCCTGGTTGCAAGGTCTCTTGGGGTCTTTTAGAGCAGCGGTTCTCAACCTGTGGGTCGCCAATCTGTGGGTCGTGATCCCTTTGGGGGTCGAAAGACCCTTTCACAGGGGTCGCCTAAGACCATCGGAAAACACATATATAATTACATATTGTTTTTGTGATTAATCACTATGCTTTAATTATGTTCAATTTGTAACAATGAAAATACATCCTGCATATCAGATATTTACATTACGATTCGTAACAGTAGTAAAATTACAGTTATGAGGTAGCAACGAAAATAATTTTATGGTTGTGGGTCACCACACCATGAGGAACTGTATTAAAGGGTCACGGCATTAAGAAGGTTGAGAACCACTGTTTATATATGTGTTTTCCAATGGTCTTAGGTGACCCCTGTGAAAGGGTCGTTCGACCCCCAAAGGGGTTTCGACCCACAGGTTGGCAACCCACAGGTTGAGAACCGCTGTTTTAGAGGGAAGAAGAGGGGAAGGGAATGGCACAGGCATGCTCACCTGGGGTATTTATCTCTCTCTGGCAGGTGGGAATCTTAGGGGAGCTCTCAGGGGAGGGTTTCAATAGAATGTTCATCAGCTTTCCAGGTGTGCTCTTTCAGGGTCATGGTTGCCAACGATTGGTCAGTGCCAGGGCAGGCGGCCATTAGTCAATGTAGCTGGTCCTGAGGCAGCCACAGCATCACTTGTCTGGTTTTGCTGCTTTTCTGGGCCTGGAGCTGAACTACAGCTAAGGCCTAGATGTTACTCTTCGGGAGGAAAAGGTCAGGGGGTCTAAACTGAATGACCAGTGATCTGCTAGGGGAGAATAGATTACCCTGAGACAAGATCCTTGTTTTCCCAGTTTTGCCCCTTGCTAGGCACCCAGGTT